GCTATTGTGTGTGCTGGGGGTCAGAGGACAGCCTTTGGAGGCAATGGAAGCCGGGTCTCCAGGCCTGTGGTGTAAGCCTGAGCTGTCTAGCCAACACCTCTTCTTGTGCTGGAGTGAGGTTCCAGTGCTCCGCAACTCTCCATCCCTGTAGCTCTCAGACACTTGTCAATACACTGAGGAAGAGAAAAGGCGACTTTTAACTTTCTCCCTCCTTTCTTCTTTGTACAGTCACTCATTGTATGTTTGCAAGACCAGAATGTGAAGACAAGTCACAGAACAAAATGCTGCTGTTGGGACCTTGAGACCAAGATTTCAGAGCCCTTGAGACCTGGAGAGCAGGGCCGTCCACTGATTCAAACTCCGTAGAGCAACCCCGACAATCCTGAGGCTTCATCGGGAGCTACAGCCAGTTAACATTTCCTTGTTTCAAGACTGCCTTTGATTTTCCCCTTGATGCCATATATTTCTGATTTAAGGTCCTACATTTTCAGCCTGGAACCAATGTTGGCAATACCTAGTTCTCCTTCTCAAACTGGAGCATCCTCCTCTCTGTATTTATATGTATGTTTTCTGTAGTCCTCCTCCTGTACCTATTGTATATTTTTTCTAATGTTTAAGCACATGCCTTTTGTATTATGCAATATATAACGGGTGTGCAGCCATAGCGAAGCCTTGAGAAGCCCTAAGCCTCAACTGTATAACCTGTGGCAAACAGAGAAAGAAGAGTCCTGCAGGAAAGTACAAGTCTTTTTTTAAAGTTCTCTGATGCTTAGGTCGTGGGTTTGTAGTCCTCCGAAAGTGGTCATTTTCCTGGGCACAGTGAGCTTAGTAATAGAACGCCATTTTGAAACATACAGCGTGTCCCAATATTACTGTGACATGTTTTTTTTTTCTAGTCCAGTCCAGGTTGGAAAGAAGTCTCCTTAGTGACAGATTAAGCCCTGTCTCTTAATGATATGGACAGATGAGTGTGCCTAAGGCCATGAGATGTTTCCCATGCAGAAGGGATCTGTTGTACTTTTTGATTGTACTCTTATATTGCTGAACCAAATTCATACGCAGAACGAAGTGAGTCCTGTTCTTTACAAATGGGTATTTTGATAGATACTGGAGTTTGTCTGTGTTATATCTGTGCCACTTCTTTTAAGAACTATGTTGCATTATGTTCGTTTGGATAAATTGTGATTTGACAGCTGATTTAAATAAAATATTTGCTTCACTTACATCCACTGGTTTTTTGAGCGCTAAGGGGCCCAGGTCCTGTATGTACTGCACCTCACAGGCTCATATTTGAATGCTTGGTCCTTAGTTGATGGACCCATCTGGGAGGGATAAGGAGGTGTGGCCTCGCTGGAGGCAGGTCACTAAGGGTGGACTTTGAGGTTTCAGAAATCCGTGCCAGTCCCAGCTGCTCTCTGCCTTGTGGTTGTGTCAAGGCGTGAGCTCAGGCATTACCCCAGACCACGTCTGCCTGCTTGCTCGCAGCAGTGTGCCCTACCATGGCCTCATCCTCGGAAACCTCAGCACCAACAAGTCCTTTCTTTAAGTTGCTTTGGTCTTAGGTCTCATCACAGTAATAGAAAAGAAACTAAGATGGCAGCTGTCAACCAGATAAGAATTAGAGCCCCTATCTCCATTCCCCCACAAAGTATGCCTCTGATCCCAACATTTTGGAATGAAGGGAAGGAAGATTCCTTGTAGAACAGGCTGGGATACAAAGCTAGTCAGGAGAGAACATTTGGGATCCTGCAAATGAGTGTCCCCTGCCCTGCACATTCATAGAAGTCTGTCTTCTCCTGCTTATGTCACTGGAATTAATATAATTTAGACCTTTTTTTTGCCTGAGAAAGTTGAAACGAGAGACAACAGCTTTTGGCTGAGGTGACAGATTGATGGCAGAGGTTGGGAGAAGATTGATGGTGACTTTTGGGGTCTATTCTTGTCCTTTGAAAATTTCATGTGTGTTTTAATGTCCCCTACCTGTCCCCACCCCCATGTGTTCACGACACCTGTCCCCACCCCATGTATATGACCACGACAAGCAAATGTGTCCCTCCCCAACTTTGTTAAATTCTTCCCTTCTCCCCTTTCCTCTCCTCTGTGCTCTTTCTATAACTCACTGAGCCCAGTTACTACTGCCGGAGTGTGCATGGCTTAGGGGCCATCCCCTGGAGACTGAGCCACGTGTCAGAGGCCACACTTCAAAGAAAAAGGACTCTTTAAACGGTCTCTGGGCCTCTGATGGCTCAGCAGTTAAGAACCTTACTGTGCTCTCAGAGGACTTGGGTTTGGTTCCCAGCACCTACACTGGGCAACTCACATTCTCCCGAAACTCCAGTTCCAAAGGTTCAAATGCCCTTTTCTAGACTGGTGCACAGATATACATATAGGAACACATCTATATACATAGAAATCTTTAATATATATCAAGAGGAGAATCAGGAGCAGTTACTGCTGCTTGCTGCCCTTCAGTTCAGTTCCCACCCCCACACTGGGTGACAGCCACCTGAGACTCCGGCTCCTAGGTATCTGATGCCACCTTCAGGCTTCCATGAGCAGCAGCTCACGCGCTCAGGTACACAGACATAACACGTGCACATAAGTACTTTTTTTTTTTTTAATTTGTTTTGTTTTTTCCAGACAGAGTTTCTCTACGTAGCCTTCACTGTTCTGGACTCACTTTGAAAACCAGGCTGGCCTCAAACTCAAGAAATGCCCCTGCCTCTGCTGCTACTCCTGGCCTTGGCACGCTCAGTCTCTGGCCGGCTGTCTTCAGATCTGTTTATTGAGGGCATTTCTGTCTAACTGAGAAAAATGTTCTTAATCCATTCTTTTAAATATTTATAGAAAGGCAAAAGGTGAAAGACTAGGAAGCCTTTCCCAGCAGCCATGGTGCGGAGACCTGAACCTTGGGCAAAGCCTCTGATGCTATACTTTGTTATCAGACTGTCCTCAAACTCGAAAAATCACCGTGTTTCTGCCTCTGGAGGTGCTGGCATTAATGGCATGTGTCACTACCCCTGGCCCTGATGCTATCACCCCTCCCCCACATATGTTACTTTGCCACCTTCTTTCTCCTTATCTTCCTCCTCCTCCTCCTCCCTCCCATCTCCTTAAGCAAGGTCTAAGTTTACCCTAGGCTAACCTGGAACTCACTCTGTAGCGCTGGTGGCTGGAACACATCCTGCCTCTTCATCCTGCCTTGTCCTCCAAGGTGTCTGGCTTTTTCTGTTTCCTGACAGTTTCGCTGTGTGTCCTCTGCCTCTGCTTCCCAAGTGCCGGCATCTCAGGTGTGTGCCACTGCAGCCTCCTCTTGGGCCACAGTCAATATTATTAAGTGCTCAGAGATTACAAGCACATCTCGAGTGAGGACAGAAAGTTTCCAATAAACCCCAGAGCCTTCAAACTCTTGCAATTCTGAGAAGCTAATACAAGGGAATAAAGGTCAGTTATTCTACAGCAGCAATGGCCAGGACACCTGCACTTCCCATGGTGTTTCCCCGGCATCAGCGCCATCTGGTACTTCTGAGAAATGACTGGGCTCCAGGCTGAGCTGTCATTTGGCTAGGGGGACACTTGCCCAGCATATGGGAGCTCTCGGAGCAGCACTATAAGCCGTGTGTGGTGGCATGTGCCTGAAATTCCAGCACTCAGCAAGGACAGGCTGAAGGAATCAGGATTTGAGGTCATCCTCAGCCACACATGGAGTTTTAGGCTAGCCGAGGGTACATGGGACATCCCGTTACACATAACAGTAACAAGGAAAGAAACTCCTGGGTTCCACCCTACATAGGCTGACCCGCCTTTCAGCATTAGGGCCAACAGTCTTTCTGCTCAAGCCTCTCAGAGGGTTCTGTGGCACAGCATGTTGAAGACCTCTGTGGTAACGTAAGCTTTAAAATATCTTCACGCGCAGGCATGGTGGAGCAGGCTGCATGCCTTTAATCCCAGCACTTGGGAGCCAGAAGCAAGCCAATCTCTGAATTTGAGCCAGTCTACATAACGAGTTCCAGGATAGCCAAGGCTATGTAGAGACACCTGTCTCAGGAAAGAAAAAAAAAGTCTTGATGAGAATTGCCCTCAATTGCATGATAAATAGGTTAACAACTTAAACGACCTTTTAGGAATGAACTTTATGAGAACGTTACCACCCTGAAGTCTTGAAAGGTCCTCGAGATGGGAAGGCATTAAAATGGCCAGCCCATTATTTCAGAAGCAGCGTAAGTGGGCCCTTAGAGGGCAGGAAAGGATCCGCCTGACAGGTGAAGGAGGGCCGTCACAGGCAGGGGGATGGGCCCCTGGAAGAGCCTCCTGTAGAGCAGCAGATCTCAACCTGCGGGCTGCGACCCCCTTGACAAACCTCTATCTCCAAAACCATCTGTCAGGATTCCTAACAGCAGCACAATTACAGTTACAAAGTCGCAATAAAATGAAAATAATTTTAGGTTGGGGAATCACCACAACATGAATTGTATTAAGAGGTCACAGCAGCAGGAAGGTTGAGCATCACTGCTTTAGAGAAATGACCCCCCCCACAAAGGAATCTGACTTTTGTATCCTTCCAGGGGTGGGGAGCGCTAAGTTGGATACCCAGGAGCCAGGCACCGGGTAGTCCCATAAATAAAAAGGTGTAAGAACCTCACGGGGCAGTACAGCCTTTTAGCTCGCCTTCCAAGGTGTGCACGCACGTGGAGACTGGAACACAACTGAACTAAAGAGGATGAAACGGCCCCTGGCTGTCTAATCTCGGTTCTTGTGATGCTTTGTGACTGTCCCGCAGTACCCGAAAGCTTTCTTCACACACTCCTGTCAGGCTGTTCCAGCATCCTCAGAAGCCAGCCGGCATCTCACAACTTCAAGACCCAGTGGGACTGTAACTTCCTCTACTACCCGAGGTCTACCTGACAGCCGTATGTATACCCAGCTGGGACTCCTGACGCAAGACTTCCACACTCCTGTCTGTGTTCTTTGGTAGACAAATACACAAGAGAAGATCCACGTGCCCATTTAATGAAATGTTTATTCAGTGAAGGGATGTATAAAAACTTACAAATCTGAGAACTCAACTATACATATAGGAGGATGATGGGATGTTCAGTTTCTAACATACACGTACAGTACAGCTATGTACTAACCCCGCCCCTGCCCCTCAGTCCTCACTTCCGGCTCCTGTTGCATCCCGGGAGGCCATTCTATTAGCCCGAGGGAAGATTAAGGACAACTTTTCATGCTGTTAGGCCAGTGGGGAAATCCTCAGGTGTTAACAAAACTGGAGGATACACAACAGAATCAACCTTCTTTCTTTACAAAAAAATAAAAATAAAAATAAATAAAAAATAAAAAAAATTTTTTTTTTTTTGGTCCTGATTTCTCTCATTATTTTTGATGCTTTAGTAGATGTTACCACTGAACCACTGAACTTCTGGCATTGCTTTTTTTTTTTTTTTTTTTTTTTTTTTGGAACGAGGTCTCTCTGTGTAGCCCAGGCTGGCCTCAAACTCCCACTTCCTTCCACCCTCCTGACCCCCTCTCCCAGTGCTGGGTTATAGGTGGGCATCACCATGCCAGGCAGTGTCGGGTTTTACACTCCGCTCTCAGCTTCCCTTGTAAGACGCCTGTTTCTATAGTCCTTTCCTTGCTGTACACACCGCTCTGGCAGGCAGTGGCCCGGCGCTGACACAGCTCACCGCTGGGGACAGCTAGGGAAAGGCGTGCCGTTGGCCGCTCAGAAAGACATTCCGGAGAACCGTGCTTTCCAATCGGATTTTAAACAAGCGCGGCAAACAGCATCTTCTTGTGCATCTTGGAACGAGGCCAGCCATTAGGTGCATCGGTTCCCCTGCTTGGGAGCAAGTATCCATATCTGCTCACTCGCTCACACACGAACTCCCAGCCCGTCAGGTTTTATCCAGAAATGAAGATTGCCATCACATTATTACTCTTTTGCGTTTGTTACAGTCGATTTCTTAACTAGTGATTTTTCTTAACTGGACATAATCTCAAAGGATACATTCTGAAATCAGACACCTAGAGGACAAATATTAAAAACATTCTCTCGGGTTTCAAGTTTCCCCACACCTTCTAGATTTGCATAGCAGAGCCCAGCTTTCTCTCTAAGAAGCATGCTGTATTTTCTGACTTTGTCTGAGAAGGAAGACTTATTACCCAGGGACAGTCATAATTTTAGCTTACCAAATTATATTCTAGTTGTTTTATTAACTCTTAATTAATTCCAAGTAGGTTTTTAAAATAATCTAAAACTTCTCAAAACCTATTTCTTTACAAGTACTACTGACCATTATCCTTCCAATATCCCCTGAATTACAGTAAATATAGTCCAGGTTTATAACGCACAAAGCCTTACAGAGATGGGGCTGGGAGGAGGGGGCAGGAGAGGGGTGGGGCCCGTTTGTATCATGCCGTGGAGAAACTTTCCCGAGCAGGGTAGAAGGTTCTTTGTAAAAATGACAGTTTTTAAAAAGACAAGTCACACTCAGTCTAGTAACACAGTTTCTTGTTCCTTTTTGATGGACGCTAACACGGGGTGGTCCGGGTCGGTCACTTCTGGGTCCCCGCTGCCCAGGAGGACCGCCCGCCCGTCGTCCAGCGCAAACACGTCCGAGCTCTGGCTCTGGCAGGAGTGTCTGACCACCTCGCTGGGCGTGGAGAAGGTCTTGTCGCACAGGTTGCACTTGTAGGGCTTGTTGGCCTGCACCAGCATGCTGTCCATCTGGCTGCCCTCCTCGAAGGTGCAGAGCTCCAGCGTCTGCTTGTCCACCATGGTGTAGGTGTCGATGCTCTGGTTGAGGCACACGTGGCGCGCGGCCTGGTTGGCCCGGCAGAAGCTCTTGTCGCAGGTGCTGCACTTGAAGGGTTTGCCCGTGTGAATGTACATGTGCTCACGCCAGTGGCTCTTCTGGATGAACTTGCGGCCGCAGATCGTGCACTCGTACTTGCGCCTCTTCACCTCCCTCTCCTGGTCCGCCTGCTCCAGGTTGTCGATGTCGGCAATGTCCGAGGGCGGCGGCGTTTCCGACTGCTGCTGCCCGTCGATGATGGGGGAGTCGGAGATGTGCTGCAGCTCGCTGTCGCTGATGATCCCCGCCTCCGGCACCTCCAGGGCGTCCTTGCCCAGGTCGGCGCTGCTGCCGAGCGACAGCGGGCCCCGGCCCTCCCCCGGCGGGCCGGCCGTGAAGGGCACCCCGGTGTGGATCTGCAGGTGCTCCCGCAGGCTGCTGCGCAGCGTGAAGCGCCGGCCGCACAGGTGGCAGGCGTAGTACTTGGGGAAGCTCCCGTTCCTCTTCATGATGCTTGGCTTCACGTGGGTGATGGTGAGGGAGGATGGCTGCTCGTCGGAGGAAGAGGCCTCCAGGTTGGTCTCCTCCCCAGGAGGAGGGGGAGGAACAGGCGTGGAGACAAGTTCAGGCGACAGTGAAGTCTGCAGGGGGTCGGCGGGAGCCATACTCGTCCGATTCACCTGGGCCAGGTTTGTAGGCAGCTGTGACAGCTGCGAGGGCTCAGGCACCGGCTCCTGGCTCATCCTGGGTGCCTGGGGCCTAGGTTCCCGCCCAAGTTTCTCAGGCCCTAAATTCATCTTGGTGGCTTGTCTCAACTGGTGGTCTGCGATCTGAATGCCGTACAAGGAGGAGGCCAGCGGGAAGACTTGCTCGGGATGGGAAAAGCTGCCTTGGCTGGCCAGGCTGGCCTCCTGGATGAGGGGGTACGCGTGCAGGAACTTGATCCCTTGCTCTAGCCGCACGGGGTCGATGAGCTGTGGCGCCATCTTCCCGGTGTACATCAGGTGCAGCAAATAGCTGAAGATGTCAGGCTGTATGTCGGTGGGCTTCAGACGGACACATTCACTGAAAGAAAGGGGAAAGCCATGAGGAAACACCAACCTCTGACCAGCGAGAGAACACTTCTGTGGCACTACTGACTCTTTGACTGAGCTCCGTACAGACCCAGGTCAGAGCTCGGCAGATGCAGTTAGGGAAGGAGAAGAATTTAATCTGATTAGAAAGCCTGTAAAGCTGGCCCTGACAATGGAGGGTTGCTAGCCTAACAAAGCCTAGGAGGAGGGGGCACAGCTCCCTGAGTTCACCAGTCACCTTCCCAGTGTTGCTAGGTGGCACTGGAAGGCAGTGCGGGACCACAGTCTCCACCAGTGTCCCACTGTGGCCTTTACAGCGGCCCACAACTGCCCTCAACTTTGTAGGTGGCCACACCACATCGCAGTTCACAGCTGGCAAGCGGCAGCACAGGCAGGTAGCACAGGGACTGGAATCTAGGCCCGCTTCATCCCACAGCCACCTGGAGAGCCTCCAGAGCACCAAACAGCTCTGTGGGGCACATGCTGGGCTTGATTATCCCATCTGAGAGGCGGAAAGGCACCTCCAGATGGTGGCTTAGCCAGCTGTCTACCCGTTAGCGGAACACCACTTCAGAAACAGCGACAGTGAAGACCTCCACCACTGAGGGACTTCTAACACAGCCCTGTGAGATACACAGCTCTGTAGTATGTACAGCTTCATCCTGGACAGCAGCGTCCTTGAAAGTCCTTAGAATTTATAGTAACTTTTATTATATAACTTCTTGGCATTAAAGATCTTTTTGGCAGGTTTAGCAATAACAGTCATTGTTTAAATCAATTACCTCTCACCATGCTAAAATATTAACAGCATACCCTATCTCCTAAATTTAACATTTTACTTTATTAAATTAAAAATAGATGAGCTAGGCATGATGTATATTCCCCACACACAGAAGGATGAGGCAGGAGGATTGTCTGAACTTCAAGGTGAGTCTAGCTACAGAACAAGTCACGGTCTATAGAAAAAGAAAAAAAGAAAAAGAAAAAGCTAATGTGATTTTAAGATCAACTTCTGACAGGACATAAATGAATAATTACTGGACGGGCTTCAAGGTGTCAAGATCCTATGCAATACCACATGCAGCCACAAACATCAAAGTCAAACAGTAAAAACCAGGCATAAATCCAGCATCCACTGACAATACAAAGAGAGCGGGAAATGTGAGCCTAATGCCATTTTCTACAAAACAAAAACAGGCCAAGACTTCTCTTTCTTTCTCTGAGACACGGTCTCCCTGTGTAGATCAGGCTGGCCTGGAACTTACAGGGACCCACCTCCTACCCCAGTGATGGACCTAAAAACGCGTGCTACCACTGGCATGCTCAGGCAGAGGCCCAGGGAGCTCAGAAACCACGGCCTTCAGAGATGTGGATCACTCCAGGAGATGGATGTGATCCTTGGGGAGGAGGTTGGTTCGGAAGGGGCTTTCTTTCATCAGGCCTGTCCACTGCATCTCCGTCCACAGGGCTTTGCAGGGGCCCACTGGCTGGGGGAGCCATTCTCTTCCTTGTTTCTAAGTGATTGCTGACAGTATGCCTTCCCAATGTGAAACAAGTATCTATAGTTCCTGATGGCAAAGGACAGAACTGGGCAGACAGTGTAGAGCAAACAACGCTCTACACTGCAGCCAGGCTGGAGGGAGTGCGGAGTACTGGGGCTGGCACCATGGTGAGGAAGCTGGGCACCCCTGGAGTTTCCCAGCAAGCACACGCGCACGCATGCGCGCGCACACACACACACACACACACACACACACACACACACACACACACACACACACACACACA